CTCTCCCGAGCGCCTCGCTGTGGCCACAACTCCGCAGGTGCGGAGGAGAAAGGCATTTATTCTGAACACCTGCGAGGTGGGTTTAAACCCTGCACGAGGAAGAAAGAGGTCATTTTGGGTTCTGGCCCGAGTGGAAACCATTCGCCACGCCAGACCCAAAGCAGTTTGCAAGCAGACGGCCTTAGCCCCCCCTGCGCGTTGCACACGCATAACTAATCCTGCTTGTGTAATTAGCTTGCTCGGGGGAGAAAAATACATTTCTGAATAAATTTCTTGTTTTTAAAGTTATGAAATTTTTTAAATTATGAAAGTATAACTTAAGACTTCGTTGACTCTCTCCCACTTCCCCCCCCCACAATCCCAAATCCTCTCCTCTTTCCTCCCCCTCTCCTCCACGTGAAGTAACACTAATATTTACCACACTTGCATTTGTTTTATAAATTTTACTTTATGAGATCTCCATTTTACAGACGAGAAAACTGAGGCACGGAGAGGTTAAATAACTTACTGAGGATTTCAGTTAATTATCGGTAAGACTTGTATTTGAACCTAGGAAGTCTGGTTGCAGAATTCATATTCTTGGGACCAGAAGGTGGCGTGGTGGCTAAGGCTCTGGACACTCCCACATGGTCGACTGCAGTTCAAGCCCTGGACCTGGTGGCTTGCTTTCTCACTTTCCCTCTCCTCTTTCTCTCTGTGCCTCTCTCTGGTCAAAATAAATGAACAAAAATGTTAGATAAATAATTTTTTTAAAAAAAGAAAAAAAAAGAATTCATGATCTTTGACCTTCAAAGCATGCTCTAGCACAGGCATCCCCTGAGAACTTGTTAGAAATGCAAAAGTCCACGCCCAGCCCACTGGCTTGGGCTGCTAAGTGTAGATAGTGTATACCTTCATATGTTGGGACTACTGGGGAGACTGAAGCAGGAAGAGAGGAGACTCTGTCAAGAAAGAAAAAAAGGGGCCAGCAGTTAGCGTAATAGCTATGTTGCTGGACTCTCATGTAGTCTACCGCAGCTTGAGTGCCGGACCGGTGGTTTAAACTCACACCAGGCGCATGTGCGCCCAAGATCCCTAGAGGAGAATGGAGGACAAGGGATTGCGCCATGACCATCCCCCCTGCGGGGTGATTTCTTGATTTCTGTCTCTGTCTCTCTCTGTCTTTCTGGTGAGTGCACGCGCCCTATAGCAGAAACCTCTCCCAAAAAAAGAAAGAAAAAAGAAAAGAGACGGAAAAAGAGAAGGAAGGAAAGGAGGAAGAGAAATGTTCAGGTGTCAACCAGAGAACCAGCACCCTCATTTAATGAGACCCCCAAGTGAGTAGGTTGTACACACACAAAGAGGAGAAATTGTGCTCTACCCCACTAAGCTATTCTGTGCCATAGACTTGGCCTATCCCCACCCAGCCCCAGTTGTACTCCAAAGCACATCAGCCCTTTTCTGATGACCTCGAATTCATCAGTGGCAGGCCTGTGGCCTCCGTTCCCTTTACCTGTGTGCAATACAGACACATCGTATATTACACATGTATTTTACTAATTGCTAAATATTTTCAATTCTTTACTCCTCAGTTAATTGAAATCGGGGCTCTACAGTTAAAGACAGTCCTGTTGTCACCAGTTTAATAGGGAATTCAAGCATCAGAGAGAAGGACTTGACCTTTGAAGTGCCCCTCAAAGATTGAGGACTGACATTCTATGAAGGACAAGAGGAAACCCAACCAGAACCTGAAACTACATGCCAGGAAATTCCAGAGCTCTCTCTTGCCATTATTCGTGTGTTCACTCAATGAATTGAGGCCCTTGTCTGTTTCAGGCACTATAAGAGGTGCTGGTATACATGGAAGTAAACACAATGGTTAAAATTCCTTCTGGCGGGAACAGCAGTTGGCATAATGGCTATGTCGCTAGACTCCCATGTAGTTGACCATGGTTCCAGTCCCAGACCCAGTGACTTAAACTCACACCAGGCACGTGTGCATGCATGCCCAAGATCCCGAGAGGAGAATGGAGGAGAAGGGATTGCAGTGTGGCCATTCCCCCTGAGGGGTGATTTCTCGCTTTCTGTCTTTCTGTCTCTCTCTGTCTTTCTGGTGAGTGCAAGTGCCCTATAGCAAAAACCTCTCCAAAAGAAATCCTTCTGGCCAGAAAGATGGCCAATTAACATAGTAAATAAATTAATTACACAACAGTGTAGAAGGTGGCATTATAGAGAGAAAAACAGTAGAGATCATTTGAAGGAGAGGTTGTGATTTTAACTATTGTGGTTGGGCTAGTTCTCCCTGAGTAACATTTGAACAGAGAGTTGGAAGAGGTGAGGGAGCAAGTTATTGAAAAGAATAAGTCCACATTGACTCATTCACCAAATAGTTATTGATTCTACACTGTGTGTCCAGTCTGCTTCTGGCTTAGGTCTTAAGCCCTGGCTGTTTTTCATACCCCCGAGTTTCCCTGGTCTGATGTCTTCTCCTGATATAAAGAAACAAAAATGTAAGCAATGGTGTGTGACTCAACCTAGTACCATGTCCTCCCATGTTGGCATGTGGTATTACCGGGAATTTAACTGTGTCTCCCCAAAATTCCTACGTTGAAGTCCTAACCCTAAGTAACTCAGAATGTGACCTTATGTGGAGATACGGTCTTTATGGAGGTAATCCAGTTACTGTGAGGTCAATAGGGTGGATCCTAATCAACACTGAATGGGTCCTTATAAATTGAAGGCAGACCCACAGACAGGAAGAACACTGTGTGGAACACAAGGCAGAGGTCTGGGTGATGTGTCTACAAGCCAAGGAACTCCAAATGTTGCCAGCAAACCAAACTACTGAAACAAGAGAAAGACACAGAACAGATACTCCCTCAAGGCTCTCAGAAGGAACCACCCTGCCAACACCTCAGTTTTAGAACTTTTAACCTCCACATCTAAAAGACAACAAATTTCTATTGTTTAAGCCACCCAGTTCATGGCACTTTTAAAAAAAAAAAATTTAAGGGAGATTTTTTGCTATAGGGCACATACACTTGCCTAAAAGACCGAAAGTAAAATATCACCACCACCACCACCCACACCCCACCCCCACCCCCCGCAAGGTTGCCCTCCATTCTTCTCTCAGGATCTTGTGCACACATACACACATGCCTGGTGTGAGTTATAAGCTGCTGGGTCTGGCACTGGAACCACGGTCAACAGCGCGAGAGTCCAGCCACATAACCAGTTCTGCCATCTGCTGGTCCCCAGTTCATAGCACTTTGTTATGCCAGTCTTAGCACACTCATACAAGTATATTTGTACTATATTTGGACTAAGGTACAATGGTACTCATCTGTAAACTTCTAGTGACTGTCTTTCGTGCAGTAGCAAAAAGCCAGAATGATCTGATGAATTGAGATTTACTATCAAAATTGCCACCACCCCCAAAAATGAGAATGAAGAAAGGTTATGAAGAAAAAAAATATGTATATATAATGGGCCCCAGTTACTCAATTATTTCTTCATCCAACTATTTATCAAAGGGCAGCTGTATGCTGGGCTCTGGAATATGGTGACAAATAAGGCAAGTGTGACTTGTATGTATTATTTCAGGGAACGTGGGACCTTGAACAACTCAATAAATATATGTATGAACAAAGTAATTTCAGAATAAAGTAAGTGCTTAAGAGAAAAGAAAAGAAAGCTAGAGCATTAAAAGATTGGTCGAAGTTAAAATTGCCTGCCCAGGAAAGGTCCCTCTGTGGAGGTAACAACTGAGCTAAGACCTAAATGACAAAAAGCCATCCGAGCAAGTATCTGGACAGAAGTTGTTCCAGCAGAGGTAACAATTCCTCTTGTAAGAAAACATCCTTGCCGTTCGTTCCGTGACACCCTTCCTCTTTTTGCCACTCATTTTACATCCTTTGAGATTGTATGAAATCAGTCAATACCTATTTCATTAAAATGGGGTCAAAGTATTTATTTTCTTATGTAAGAACCTAGGAAGGTCAAGTCAGCTGGGTTTCATGCGCACGCACACACACACATTCACCAAATACCCCTTGATGTGCCTCTGTATTCGTAAGTAGTGATACCACGTGACTCGGACACGGTGTTTATTTTCCTCATTTATATAACGTCTGAACACTAACTGGGCATGTCCCGGTGCTCAATCAATATACTGATGACTGACGGTGTCTGCAGGGGGACATTCTGACTCTCACAGGCCATTCATAAAATCCGATTAACAAAAGAAGCCTCAACTTTAAAATCTTGCAATGCTCATGTACTTGGAGTGTAATTTTTCCTTAGGAGACTAATCATAATAGCTAAGAGCAATTGCAAGCTAGGCTAAGTGTGACCCATGGATTAGCATCCCTCATAATCCTACAAGGTAAGCTCTCTTTTTATAAGCTCCCTTTTACAGACGAGAAAACTGGAACTCGACAAGGTTGAGGAACATAGCTGTGGTCGACACCACTATTAAACAGCTGACTTATGCCTTTAGCAAGCCTCTTTTATGACAGGGTCTGTGCTAGGGTGGATGCGTAGAAATAAATGAAGAAAGAGAGAAAGCAAAAACCATTTGTCTATTCCTTTGCATTTGTCTTTGAAATTTTCAAAGCGCTGTTTTCTAACTTTTTTTTACTTAACCAGCCCTCCAGCTTTCAAGTTCACTTTTCTAGCTGGATATTTGCTTTGCTTTCTCTTGCTTCAAACTGGGGACTGTGAGGACTTTGATAAATGAAACAACTGATATTTTTTTTTTTTGTTTTCAGCTTGTCTGTTCTTTGGCATCCTCTCAGGAAATGTGAGTCAAGCTCTTTGGAGCTCAGCCTACTGTGACATACAGCCGTGTCTCACACACT